CTCTACTTACCCCCTCATAAAAAGTTAGCAAGTTAGTTAGGCAGGAACGATCTTTCCTGAACCCATGCTGATTGTCATTAACTATCCCGTTTTCCTGAACAAATTCTACCAGATAATCCTTTATTATGCCCTCTAGCATTTTACAAACTACCGATGTTAGACTGACCGGCCTATAGTTCCCAGGTTGGCACCTAGCCCCCATTTTGAATATTGGGACTACCGTAGCCCTCCGCCAATCACTGGGGATCCTACCAGTCATTTAGAATGAAAAAGAAGTCATCAACTTGCGCAAAAAGATAGATTGTTTATGGACTATATATTGATAGTATCAAATGAACTCAAGTTATACTGGTAATTACTCCAGAGAAGATGTATGCACCGATCCTGCAGCCTGGTTGGTTGGATAGGGAAACATCCAAATAACAGCACTGTAAAGAAAACATAGAAAACCGGCGCACCGATCTAAGTGCAGTATAAAGTGACTATTTAATAAGGGTAAAAGTAATGCACTTACAGGATATTAAAAAACATCTCGCCTGTCACGCATCACATGAAAGTCCCATCTCAGCTGCTGGTCCGAGATTGCTATCAGGATAGGGAGAAAGCGCACCACCAAGACACTACTTTGTCGTTTTGGACAACATCGACGATATATAGAACAGGGCTCCAAGGACCACACAGTGTACCAAGACATTTTGCCACCAAACATAATAAATCTACAGTGGATCAGACCTGTATGATAGTGATAAAGCCCATGCCTAAGGGATGCATCCTGGGAAGGTTACATCAGCAGTGCATTGCTGGGAAATCTCATCTGTAAACCGCAAAATCTTGTGAGAACTCAGGGAAAGGCATTCTCTCCCCCGAGATGATGCACATGGTCACATGTTCAGGCACATGTGCCAGAGTTCCAGGAAGTAAAGGGAGATGTATTAATATGCCCTTAGTTTAAAAAAAGTCCACTGTGAGAAGAATGGGGAAGAAAAATAAGCTATACAAAGAATAAAAGCCTGCAATTATCTGTTTGTAGATTATCATTACTAAACTTTTCTAAAGGTCCCTTTGTTTTCATTTTAAAGAGAAGGGTAAAGGACCTCTTTAAGCATTCCCTGGAGAAGCCTCATATTATGGCTTATTCATTATACAATGTGTTGCCTTATACTTTATTCTAATCATGGATATCACCCTATTTAATGATAGCAGTACACTTCCCACAATTACTAGAAAAACACATCTTAGATCGACAACTAGCATTATAGGTTGATCATGTTATACAGAGCAAAGAAAATATTGCATTTGGGTTTTCATTAATTTAGCTACTTTGAAAAAAAAAAGAAACACAAAACAAACTCAGGGGAAGGAAAACATGGCACAAATTGTATCTCATTTCCTTCACTTTTGCCGCTGAGCAAACATGCTTAATGTCATTGTGAAAAATAATGTATGAACTGAATAAATGCTTTCATTTACATTGCATTGCTGTTGTAACTCAGAGGCATACAGGGTTTCATTTAGAACAAACCAAATTATGTCACATCAACCTATTAAGCAAGACAGAATTAGAAATAATTTCTTGTAAAGTAGTTTTGTATAATAACTGTTAGACTGCCATCCTGTGGAAACAGTGTAGTATACAACATTCATCTGGGAAATCGCTTATAGAGAGGTAAACATACACATCAGCTAGAATAACAGAACATGAAAGCAAAAACTAAAAAGCAAAAACCATTCTTAATACAGCAACCAGATTGCAGAAGTCACATTTCTTTACTGATGCTTTATATAATAAATGCATTTTTACACACATATACAGTGTGTGTGTGTATATTATGTGTATATTATATATATAACACACACTTCCTTGGAGGAATACCTGAAAGTCCAACCCTGGACCGGTGATGCTTGGGCTTCTGGTGTGTTGCTGTAGCTTAAAAAAAGGAGCTGTCTGCAGAGGAGGCTGCTTTTAGTCTGTACATTGCTATATATACACACACCATAGTTTTTTGAGTTAGAGACCGCACTTTACAGAGGTGCCTTGGCAGGGTGGTGTGTATCAATGTGCATTTCCAAAAGCATACACAGGGGGGTGGAAATTTAAAATAAAACTACTTGTCCAAGGACTAAAGCGGGGGCCGATCTACTTGTCCCTCATTGAAAACTGCTTGTCCCGATCCAAAAAAATTTTTTTTTTTTTTACCAAAACCAGATTTAGCAGTGCCAAGAAGAGCTTCTCATTGGTCAGTGCTGTCAGGTGACTGCGCTGACCAACGAGTGCTTGCATTTTGCGAGCGAAATTCAGAATATATGGTACAGGTAGATAGTACACCCATACTGGCGGATCGGAAGGACCGTTCTCTGAAAAGTAATTTTAGCGGGAGGGGGCCAGATTTGTGCAGGTAATGCCATTTTCCCAAATTACTTGGGAAAGTGAAATTTACCCTTCAGGGCGGGTGCAGACTTGGGCAACCGTGTGCGTGGCGTGGTAATCGCTGAAAAAAGGTACATGTACCTTTTTTCGCGACACGCACCGTGTCTTCAACCGCGATTATGTACGATTGCACGGGGTTATTGCGGCAGTAAACTGCGCAATCTGCCTGGGGTTCCATTAGACAATAATGGCACTGCCAGCGCGATTGGCGGTGGTGTGCGCTTCTGTGACCGCCCGGCCATCCACGTGGTTTTGTGCACGATTGCCGTGCGGTAACGGATCGCCCACTCAACACACACAGGAGTTCTAGCACAGTTCTGTGCAGGTTCTCCTGTGACAGGAAGGCTGCATTCCCCTGTCACTATTCACACGGAGCCGAGTAGAGAAGCGTTCTCTGCCCTGCTCCATGCTCTCTAACCTAATTAGCCGTGGGCACGGATCACCCACAAGAGGGGGGGGGACCCCGAAGACCACAACAAAAGCACGGAGAGAGAGGTAGCCGAGAAAGGTAAACGGCCTCCCGCCGGAGAGCGAGAGAGAGAGAGAAAGGGGAGGGGGAGCGAGGGAGGGGAGTGAGATTCAGGCAAGTTACAAGTGGTTTTGGACGGCTGTACAGCCGTTCAAAATAACTTGTACGAAACGTCTCCCACACTACATTCAGCTGTGCTGCTTGCCCGCAGCCAGGCTAAATGTAGAAAAAAACTACCTATCCCGGGCGTTAGGAATTCCACACCCCCTGATACAACAAAAGCCTCATTTTTTTTTTAACCTAGAGTAGTCGAGACCCTTTAGTCAGGGTTTTTTTT